ATTCCTTTGTTCGTTCCTTCGTTCGTTCCTTTGTTCATTCCTTTGTTCGTTCCTTCGTTCGTTCCTTTGTTCGTTCCTTCGTTCGTTCCTTTGTTAGTTCCTTTGTTCGTTCCTTTGTTTGTTCCTTCTTTCCTTTGTTCGTTCCTTCGTTCGTTCGTTCGTTCGTTCCTTCGTTCGTTCCTTCGTTCGTTCGTTCCTTCTTTGGTCCTTCGTTCGTTCCTTTGTTCATTCGTTCGTTCCTTTGTTCATTCCTTTGTTCGTTCCTTCGTTCGTTCCTTTGTTCATTCCTTTGTTCGTTCCTTCGTTCGTTCCTTTGTTCGTTCCTTCGTTCGTTCCTTTGTTAGTTCCTTTGTTCGTTCCTTTGTTTGTTCCTTCTTTCCTTTGTTTGTTCCTTCTTTCCTTTGTTCGTTCCTTCGTTCTTTTGTTCGTTCCTTCGTTCTTTTGTTCGTTCCTTCGTTCTTTTGTTCGTTCCTTCGTTCTTTCCTTCGTTTGTTCCTTCGTTCATTTGTTCGTTCCTTCGTTCCTTCCTTCGTTTGAAGGAACGAAGGAAGGAACGAAATCAATTATTCAAAAATAAATAGCAATAAAACCTCTTAAAGGAACGGTCACAAAAACGTTCAAGTAAGAAAAAAAAAACTTCAGCACCTAAACAGCAGCTCTTATAAATACAAATTATACAATTTCATGTTTCTTTTTTTTTGCCACTTCAGTAGAAAGCAGAACTAAATATTTGAATAATGGTATCTTAGCTTTTTCATCATCAGTGGCTTTTTTTTTTTTTCAAAAAAATAAAAAAATTAATATTTCTTTAACAAATTATTGTTTATCATTCTTTTAAACAAATTAATTGAGCCACAGTTTTACAATCAGAGTATTCCATAATCTTATTCCTTGGACTGAAGTGCATCTGTCCTTCAAATTTGTTTGAATTTTAGGTTTTACAAACATTTCCAATCCCTTAAGATTATAACAACTTTCACTCTTCACTAAATGTGATTATTATGAGCCTTATACAAAACCTGCAAAATATTAGACTTGTGGGACTGACAGAAACTTTAGCTGAGTTTTGTGTTTATCTCTTCCTGTTCCACTTGCCTCTCTTTCTCCATGTCCGCTCGGTACGGGCGAGTGACTGATGGGTCTCTGGGATTTGGACCTCGACACGAGGGGGTTTTCCCGAACGTGATGCCGTCTCTGTGACATCTGCCCCTCTTCTCCCTGCGTTTGGCACACAACCTCTTCTCCCCCTCCCCCGTCACACAACTGTTCAGCTTCCTTATGGGCCTCCTCAGCGCCTTCTTCATCCTCGCCACAGACTCCATGACAACTGGCGGCTCTGAGTGTGGGGGGTAAAAAAGGATCGACCCACCCGGCCCTACTTTCTGGACAGGTGACAGGTGGAGACGTAACGGCTTCCTCCTCCCTACATGTTGCTCTGACAGCCTCACGTCTCGTAGTAATAACTCAGGCTGAGACCTGACAAGGACAAGGACAGCAGTTAGACATGGCTCAGACACTCAGATTTAGGACTCACACACACACACACACACACACACACACACACACACACACACACACACACACACACAGTGCTTAAAAACATAAATGAGGCGTTTGTCATCATCTGAAGGGTGAGGAGGGTATTAAGAGAAAGCTGGAGCTTAAACAAGGACAAAAAGTGACGAACGTTACCTGCAAACATCACATAGTCTATTCCTGAGTCTGTTGGTGTTTTCACACAATTATCTGAATGATCTACAAGTTTTTTACCTGTGCAGGTGGTCACTGATTCTCTGAACGCCTTCAGCTCCTCCTGCAGACAATCCTCAGGTCTTTAAAACGAACTGGACTGAAAAGAAAAGTGCAGAGTGGACGTGACCCATCCTGCAGCTTCCAGCCTGTGCCTTGCTCATTTCTTCCCCCTCAGTCCTGCTGCACACCTCACCCCCCCCCCCCCCCCCCCCCAACACAGATTAGAGGATTTAACGAGGGGGAATCTCCTTAGCTGTGCTGGGAGTGACTCACGTGTCGGTGATGGAGATTGACACACGCGTGCAACACAGGTCAGACCTCAGACCTGGTTTCAGTCAGGTAACAGGCTGGAAGGTGAAATCATTGAAAAAACCTTTGCAAATTCTTTGAGATTATACAGTATATATCAGATAAATGACTCAAAGATAAGTTAAGTATTTATTCGATTTTGACAAAATGTAATTGATGCAAATGGATGCACTACAGCTGCCTATTTCACAACACACCACTTTGAAATGGATCCCTCGGTTCGATGTGATGCCTCATAGATTTGTAGATAGAAAGATGCAAAACGACAAAATGAATCAGATTGACACCTGGCTGGTTAGAGTCGAGTCTGAAACTGAAAAACATAAATATTGACAACTAGTCTAAAAAAAGCTGACTGAAAAACATAATTTGGGTTTCTGCTTCCGGCAAAAAAAAATGTTGGGAGTCATCATTGATGAAAACCTGACATGGAGAGCTCATTTAAAACATTTAAGAACAAAAATAGCCAAATCTGTTGCAGTACTGTATAAAGTAAAGGAGTTATTTAATGATAAAGCACTATTTGATATATGTGACCCAACACATCGAAACGAGGATTAAGTCTAAAAGTTGTATATGGAGAAAAATAGTGTTTTGACTAAAATGTTAACAAAAATTGCATTTTGTCAAAATATAATGAACAAAAGCCTTATAAATGTATCATTTGAATGAACTGTCTGATATATAACCATAAAACAAAAATTTGAAGCACTTTGAGCAGTAGCAACAAAAAAATACTGATTTTGAGGAAAATTGCCTTAAAATGTTGAGATTTTCCCTGTGAGTTAGCAAAGTTTTTTTTCTTTTTAGCTGGGAAATCTCAATATTCAAATATAATCTGAGGTTTCCTCTTTATAACGACATCAAAAATTCCTCATTGAAGGGACATAAAATTCAGATTCAGACCAAATATTTATGTATTATTGTAACCAACAAGACAAATTAAGTCATATATATGGATTTAATTATGATATCAGGATGATCCAGGTGNATGTATTATTGTAACCAACAAGACAAATTAAGTCATATATATGGATTTAATTATGATATCAGGATGATCCAGGTGTCAAAATGTAGCTTTTAAAGCCACTAATCTGAAAATGTAATTAGGTCATTTTGACCAAATTTGACTTAATCCTCATTTCGATATGATGGCTCCCATATTGTATTGAAGTCAGGGGGAAAGCATGTAAAACAGTTACAAACCATATGTGTAATTTTTAAAAAAGAGCTGTAAGAATTATCACCAGAAAACATTACTGTCACCCATCAAATATATGATTTTATCCGTTGAAATTATTTAAGTTTTACGAGTTGGTTGATTATAATATTTTTCAGGTTATGGATAAGCCTCATAAAATATTATCTTTGAACAGCAAATCAAATTTTGTTAAGAGGGAAAGTTGTTATAATCTTAACGGATTGGAAATGTTTGTAAAACCTAAAACTCAAACTAATTTGAAGGACAGATGCACTTCAGTCAAAGGAATAAGATTATGGAATAATCTGGACAGTGAGTGTAAAAATACTGGCTCAATTAATTTGTTTAAAAGAATTATAAACAATAATTTGTTAAAGAAATGTGAAATTGAATAATTTGTATTTATAAGAGCTGCTGTTGAGGAGCTGAAGATTTTGTTTTGTTTTTTCTTACTTGAACATTGTTATAGTTTGAAATTATTATTATTATAGTAATTTTTAAATAGTGGAATATAGATATTTTTATTCTTTTTGCTACATTTCATTTCATTCGACATGTATTTTTTTGAATGTGAATTTGTTTTGTTTTTAAATTAAATTTAAAAAACAAAATGTCAATCTTAAAGTTTGTTTTCTGATGCGGGTTTTTATTTTATTTTTTTTCTTCACAACCACATCAAATGTTAAAATTCTCCTCAGTTGCATTTAGAATCTGTTTTATCTTTAAAACCCTTAGAGGAAAAACACACGCTGAGCATTTTATGTTTAACAACTGTCACGGCTTTTAGATGTTTTTATTTAGAAGTGATAGAAGACAAGAAAGAAATGAGTAGAAAGGGGCATCAAGTGTAAAACAAAAATTTAAGACATTTTTATTATTCAGCTCACTTTTTGAGTGTAAATTTCTAGTTAAAAATTCCTCACTGTTCCTACATTTAGCTAATTTTTAGCACATGTTAAATGTTACAACTAATATTTAAATCCTTATTCTAAATGTGTAAATCTAATGATAAAAAGGTAAATATAAAAGTTAGTGGCTGAATGTATTTCAGAATGGAACATTGCCTTTGCATGTTGGTACTCAGCTGTTGTTATGATGTCATCATCTTGCAACAAAAGCAACTGCTAACATTGCTAATGCTGCTAACTTTGCTAACTGTGCTAATGCTTCCTTACAAGACATTAAACTTGCAGTTGCAGCCGGTGTCCAAGCTGCACTTCAAACAGCCGGACCACATCTGTCCTCCATTTTGTTTTCAATGAACACATTTTGTATTTGAATGTCAAAGACCATCTACAGCAGCATTAGCAGTGTTAGCTTTTGTCTCACGATGATGACATCACAACTAAAGCCGCACACCAACAGCAACGGGTGCGATCATTTAGCTCCAACATTTAAGATTTGATTTTTTACAGTTAGATTTAGGATTTAACGTTTAGTAAAAGTAATATATTGCTTGTCACAAACAGTATATTCTTTTAAAAATTTTAAATTATAAAACATGTTTTGAAACTAATTTTATGTTTGTTCTTTTTTGCTTCATGTCTATTTGCTGTAGGGACATTTCTCAGTCATTCTGCTGCTTTTGTGGTAAAACATGTTGCATTTAATGAGAGGAGTTGATCAGCAGGACAAACAATTACCATGAAAATCAGCAATTATTGTTTTTAAAGCACATTTGAAACCAGCAGGAGGATTCCTAAAAAATGTAATTAAGGAAAGGAATTGAAAAACATGTGAGCCGACTTTTCATGGAGTTGGTGATAAAAATACAAGTTGAAGGATTGGTTGACTAAAAAGGTTTATTTAAAACAAAGAGGGGAGAATAAAATCATCTTTATTCATGATCACTGAGCTTTAGAGTTTAATTGCAACCTTGGGACAAGTAAGAGTTGGTTTGTTTGCTGAGCTAAAAGACCTGCAAATTAAATCCTAAACAAGGCCCAGGGTATAAGAACGAGTCTGTCCCTCGAGAGCCCCCCAGGTAATGAGCGAGGTTTTAAATTGGATTCTGGTGAAGTGAAAACTAAAGCAGAGTGGTGAGGACTGGAAGAAGAAACAACATTTTGGTTTATGTGACTTTTTTTTTCAAACAAAGCACCAAAATTTCTGTTTTATTTGATTGCTTTCAGTCTGCTTGTTTTGTTGTTTGAGTTAATGTGTGTTAATCCGCTGCACTTTTTAATTTTCCTCTGGTTAAAGTCTGCAATGATAAAAAGCAGATAATTAGGGTCTGAGAAGGTAAACTCTATGTTCCCTCGGGTAATGTTTGTGAAAGCTGCATGAATATTTTCTATGCATTTTATCATTTAGAAAGATATAATTTAAACCTTTTTAATTAACACGATTGTCCCCTTTTAGATTTACTGCTGTCTGGGTATTTGTCCTAAAAACATAGATTAAAAAAAGAAATGACAAATATAGAAGGATCTGGGACTGAACATTAATTTAGACTAGAATATTCTGTACATGAACAGACAGATGCAGAGTGCAATTCATTTTCTGTTTTGTTTTAGTGCTGAAAGATATTGCCTTGCGACTGACCAGCTATGTTTTGAAGTTGCATTATAATAAAATATGTTTAAAAAATGGGAAGAATGCACAGAGCTTGACTGAGGAAAAAGGAAAAACTGCAACAATATGGACTGGGGCTGATGAGAGGAGGGTTGGAAACACCTGGTGTATAACTGGAGACAGGTGAACGTGGGCAGAGCTGAAGGTACAGTACAGGTGTGCCCTGTCAGGTTTAATAAGTGAGATTTCTTACCTTATAAATGGGGTTGGGACCATCAGTTGTGTTGTGCAGAAGGTGGAGACACTACACAGCTGATAGTCCTACTAGACTGTTAGAATTTGGGTTATGGCAAGAAAAAGTAGCTGAGTAAAGAAAAACGAGTGGCCGTCAGTACTAGGGATGTCCCGATCCAGATTTTTATGGCTCTCGATACAATCTGATTTTTTTAGTGATTAGTCTTTCCGATACCGATCCGATAGCTTTATTTCTTTATTTCTGTCCAAGTGACAAGGTTGGTGGTATTAAAGCGAGCCCTGCTGTTCCCACCATCAGAAACATCAGTTTGCAGATTTTGTTAGATGCAGTTTCAGCATCGTTTTCCATTGAAAAGTGTTCCCACACTGTGGACATGGTTGCGTACTTGTGTGCGTCTTGACTTAACAGCAGTTTCAAAGCGTGATGTTGTGTCACGATTCTTGTGTTTTATGGTTCAATTAGAATTTTCTGTTTCATTGTTTGGTCATCTTGTGTCTTATTTTCTCATTTCCTGTTAGTTTTCTCCATTTCCTGTTTCATGCTATCCTCAGCAGCTTCTTAGTATTTTTCCAGCCTGCCACACTCACCTGTCCATAGTCAGTAATCACCCATGTGCTTCCACTCCCCAATCATCCTCAGTTGTTTTTAACCAGTGTCATGTCTTCATCACCCTGTTGGATCATTGCCTTTTCATGCCTCGTCTCTGTCCACGTTTTCTTTTGTATTTTTGCTGCCACGCCAGCCTTTTTGTTTCATTAAAACCGTTTTGGTTAGGGTTAGGGTTAGGGTTATCAGAAAATGGCCATATCTTCCACCGATACTGATACTGAGTATCTGATCGGGACATCCCAAGTTAGTACTTTAAGAAATGAAGGTCAGTCATTCTGAAGAATTGGGAAAACTTTGAAAGTGTCCCCAAGCGCAGTCGCAAAAACCATCAAGCGCTACAAAGAAACTGTCTCACATAAGGACCGCCCCAGGACAGGAAGACCAAGAGTCACCTCTGCTGCAGACAATAAGTTCATCTGAGTCACCAACCTCAGAAATGACAGGTTAACAGCAGCTCAGATTCGAGAACAGGTCAACAGAACAACTGTTCAGAGGAGACTGTGTGAAACCACTGCTAAGGACAGGCAACAAGCAGAAGAGACTTGTTGGGGCTAAAGAACACAAGGAATGGACATTAGACCAGTGGAAATCTGCTTTGGTCTGATGAGTCCAAATTTGAGATCTTTGGTTCCAACCACCGTGTCTTTGTGCAACACAGAACATGTGAACGGATGGACTCTACATGCCTGG